ACTGGGTGTTGTTGTGGGGGTGGTATCATGGACTTTCTTTCTTTGCAAAATGAATAAGAAAGAAAAGGAAGGAGAAGGGGTGGGGGGAGGGTCAGGAGAAGGATCAGGACCCAAATAGGTGTGCTACTTTTCTCTTGAGGGAAATTTGGATAAAGGAGCCACCACGATTCAGCATTCACCCTGAGTAAGAGAGAAGGAACTTTTGTTTTCATGCTCCAGCCAAAGACGGAAGAGAAAATAAAACAGAACAGACTGACGAACAAACAGAACTAGTTAGTGTTTCTCCCTCCAGACTGTGAGGAGTGGAAAGTCACCTTAAACCCTGAGCCGTGAATCCTGACTCAAGGAATGTGATACATGGAGCTAGGGTTTTAAGAGGGATTTTGGAAAACTTTGAGTTCAACTCCTCACTCAGGAGAAAGATGCATCCAAACCCCTTGACAAGCAAGTCTGTCTGCCTCTGGGTGAATTTATCTCAACTTGACCCCACGTGTGCACGGAGTCAGAATTCACTGCCTGCCTCTGGCCTCCAGGATGGGGGGAGGGGGTTCTGACTCCTCCACCCCCAAAGTGAGCGATAGTGGTTAGTTATGCTCTAGCTTACTTCTGGTTCTAGCTTCCGGTCTCCCTGTCACTCCTGGGGGCTGGGGCAGACTTTAAATCCTGTATGGTCCTGAGAGCACTTTGGGTGTAGACAGATTCATGAAGAGCAATTGCTTGCGAGGCCCTGGAAGGTTAGAGAAAAGCAAATGCCCCAGCTGAGGTCAGGTTGAGAGAGACATGAGAAGGTCAGTCCAGAGCAGGAAAGGAGAGCGTACTCAAGTCGTGCATCTGGAGGGGGGTTTGATAAAGGCCTTCTTTATAAACATGTGCCTGGGTGTACAGAAACCCCAAGGGGGAGTGCAGTGCCCTGGGACTAGTAACGGTGTGGGGAGGGGTTGTTATCCTTGTCACCCTGGGCCTATAAAGGCAAAGAGAGGGAAGGCGGACAGCATCTGGAAGGAGAGGTTGGCAAGAAGACGGGTGCCAAGACAGGAGCCGTGGCAGTCGGAGCCAACTTGAGGAACATCTGCACAAGGGGGACGGAGAAGGGGGGTGAATGGTAGAAGAAAAGGTACCGTGACCTCACTCGCCTACCCCTGCCAAGTCTTTCCTGCGGGGCTCCTCGCTGGCCACACCCAAAGGGATTGCCAGAAGCCAAGTGAGTCCCTTGGTGCAGTCCAAACAGGTCAGCCCCACGGGACACCAGAAGCAGAGAGGAGGGCGAGGGCGGTACAGCACTGTGTGGGTGGGGGTTCAGAGTTGCTCACAAGTGGAGGCATGGGGAAAGCTGCAGAAGTTCTATGACTTTGACCTGACTGCTCCCTCCCAGCTTCATTGCCCTTATACATCACAGTGATCGTCAGTGTGAGAGGGAAGAGGTGGGAACCCATTTCCCATCTCTGCTCTGCCCTTTAGACAGATGAGGAAAAGCAAGGCTTGGCCGCAACACCACGCTGCCTCCCATGGGACAAGACACCGATTTCCAAGAGCAGGCTCTCTCTGGATACACACCAGTCAGTGGACTGACAGGTGTCTCAGACTCAGGAATCACAGAAACACGTCTTGCAGGACCAATGATGCAGGTTCCCCTCACTGGGCTAAAAGACTAACAGCAGCTCGTGAAACCCCATCTGGCTATGGTGCACGTACCAGAAAATGTGGCCATCTCTTCCATCATTTGGTTTTAGTGGAGACTGTTTTCAAATGGAAGCAATCTGTCTTTCTCATGTTTGGGAAGAGTGGTTATTAACTATGAGGAAACTGTCTCCAGCAGTAGGTCAATTAATTACTGCATTTTAAAGCTGCTTCGTGAAAAACAGCAATTAATTTCACTACATTTCTGGGTAGTTCTTCTGCAAACCTTATCCATTTGAAATCACGTTATCATGGGCGGATGTGGAGACTTGATTATTTCTGAGAGCTTTATAGGAGATCATATTCTTTTTTTATTTTTTTAAGGACTGTGGGGATAGAATTAGGTTTTAATTATCACTGGCACCTTTTCACTACTGGAAATGACTTGAAAACAAGACAGGAAGAATTTACACCGAAAGGAGAGTTGATAAATACTCTGAAAGCCTATTTATCTAAACACATCTTCAAGTTGAAATGCCATCTGATAAGAAAAAAAAATCCAAATATAAAATGGGACATTTCTGTTTACTTACTAATATTCTTTGTACTTTTCTGGTCTAATTGGTTATGAATTCCATAAGCTTTTTTTCTGGGTGAGAAATATCAAAGGGACTATTTTCACCTGTTCCTTGACCTTTTACCTCAGCCTCAGCTGCATTATCTTTAACTGGGTTGGACCCTGCTGCCCTCCTATTTGGTTTCACAGGAAGCCACAGAGAACTTGACTGGCTTTGGTCCAGAGGGCAGTGAGCAATAGTTTTTCATTGCCGTATATTATCTGGCCGTGGGAACTGGCCAAACCTGGGTTTAGGGACTAAATATAAGTTGGGCATTTCATGCTGACCTTGCCAGACTTTTCTGAGGGTGTCTGATTTCAAGCAATTCTTATAGGTAAAGCCCACGGTTTCTCAACCTCAGCACTTTTAACATTTGGGGCTGGGTAATTCTTTGTTGTGAGAGCTGTATTATACATCGTAGAATGTTTAACCGCATCCCTGGCCTCTACCCACCAGATGCCAGGAGGAGCCCTCTCCCCTCCGTTGCGATGATCAAAAATGTCTCCAGATAGTGCGAATTTCCCCTGAGGGGCAAAATCATCCTTAATTGAGAACCACTGGTATAAATACAACTGTTTACGATTACAGAGAGAGAGAGATTGAAAGACTATAGGTAAATATACATGGACATATGTATACATAGCTCAATAATAAAGGTTGTTTTTGGAAAGACTGTGAATCAGTGTTCTCCAAAGGAACAGAACCAGTAGGAAATATATACATATGTGCACAATACATATATAAACCTACATACACATCCATCCATACACACACACACACACACACACACACACACAGTTGCCCTTTGCACAATACAGGGATTAGGGGCCCTGTCACCCTGCACAGTCGAGAATCCTCATGTACTTTTGGCTCCCCCCAAACTTTTAATACCTACTGTTGAGCCAGAAGCTTTACTGATAACATAAATTGTCGATTAACATATTTCGTATGTCATATGCATACTATATTCTTACAATAAAGTAAGCTGGAGAAAAAAAGTTAAGGAAATCATAAGGAAGAGAAAATGGATTTATTGTACTGTATTTATCAAAAAACAATCCACTTGTAAGTGGATCTATACAGTTCTGGCCCTTGTGCTGTTCAAGGGTCAACTGTATATGGAGATTATAGGAATTGGCTCATGTGACTTTGGAAGCTGAGAAGTCCCACAGTCTGACATCTAGTTCTCCAGAAGCCTGAGAAAGAGGACCACCAGTGTCTGAGGGCAAGAAGAGAGGGATGTCCCAGTTCAAGCAGAGAGTAGATTCTCCCGTCTTCTACCTATTTCTTTGACTCAGGCCCTCAGCAGATTGGATGAAGCCCACCCACTTCTGTGGGGAGTTCTTCTTTACTTAGTCTGCTGATTCATACGCCAATCTCTTTTGGGAAGCTCACAGACATACCCAGGAATAGTGTTTCACCTACTCCCGGCATCCCTGAGCCCAGCTGCGTTGACCCATAAGATGAACCATCACACCTTGTGCTGTGTCTTCAGGCGCATCTGGATTTCAGTCCAGGCTTTGTCGAGACAACCTCCGGGGTACTTCCTCCTCTCTAGAGGCTGCCCTCCTAAGGTTTTGGTAACAATAGATGAGCGAGTGTGTACAGAGTGGCGAGCACTGGGTCTGGTACCCAGGAGGTGCTCCAGGAAAGCTATTTCCTCCCCACGTGCAGAAGCCATCAGTACTAAATGGACTGATAGCTGCTGGAAGCAGAAGAGTCATTGCATTCACTGAAAGATGTTTCTATTCTCTGCTCTGTGTCCCCTGCAAGAGATGTCTGTCCTTGTTTCATGTCATATACTAGTTTTTCATTTCCCATAAACTTGCTTTTCTTCAAAAAGTATGTAAGCAACACGCAAACACACTGTCACTGCAAAACTTCAGACACCACAGATAAAGGAGGCTGAAGCCTCCTTTGCCCTTTTTACCCCAAGGCCTCCCCCCATCTCCAGAGGTAGCCACTGGCATCAGATTGAGATGTGTCCTTCCAGGCCTTTTCTTGAATTTTTATACCATTATCATTTTGCATGTGTAAATGTGCACATCTTTATCTTGTACAGACTGAGGTGTTACCTTTTCAATGCACATGTCAGTATATTCAGACCTAGCTCCCTTTGGCATTGTATGTTGGCATGGTGTGAGACCTTGGGCTGTTTGAAGTTTGTGGCTCTCACTAACAACGCTGCAGTGAACGGACTCACAACTCCTTGTGCATTTATCTATAGTAGATGCTAAGAAGTGAAATTGCTGAGACAGAGTATGCGCATTTTAAATTTTAACAGAAAATGCCAGGTTGCCCTCCCAAATGGCCCGACCATTTTGTATTACCAACATTCTCAGTAGTAGCAAATCTAATTTTTTCCCAATCTGATGGAAAAAAAAAATCACCAAACAGATGTCTTGTTTTAATTTGCATTCCACTGATTACTGTCAAAATGAGTGTATTTTCTTATGTTTGTGGGCCATTCTTTTTTTTTTTCTTTTGATACTTGTGTCTTCCTTTCTTGTGCTTACTCGTATTAGGGTGTTTGTCTTTTTCTTATAGGTTTGTTATGTTTTTTTTTTTTTATATGTTCTGTGTATTCTTTGTTATACACATTGCACAGGAAGAGACTGAGATGCTCCACAGTAAGTGTTTCAAAGGGCATTAGGTTTTAGCTGTGGTCTGAGATGATCAGCGCATTTTCCGAGCAGTGATGTATCCCCATCTCTGGTCCCAGGGCATCTGCTCTCAGTTACACTCCCTGTTTTTGTCTCTCCTCAGCTGCAAGTGTCCCCCACGAACTTCTGGATCTCCTGTATCCCCAGCAGACCCTCACCTCCCTGCCTCTGAGGTTAGAGGCCACCTTGAACGGTGGGTCCAAGGTAAGTACACACCTGTGCCCCTTGCAAGCCTGCCTCCCTCGAATTAAGCATTGCCAGACATGCAAGGCAAAACACCGTCCGTGGGACTTAATAAATGTTGTGGGCAAACAAGATTCATGATATAAGCTTGCCAAACACTTGAATTTTCTTACTGTAGGCCTTTTTTTTCCCCTCTGAGTCTTTGCTCTGTCACCATGCATGATGACCCTCCAAGAGGGGTTCTATTTCCCAAATGTATCTGGCAAGATGGGACTTTTTTCCTAGAGCGTCTCTTAAGCTCACCTCGGCTTGGAAGAGACTTTAGGGCATTTGGTTTTGGTGCGTGCAGTCAAGCTGCCGTTTGACAGCTGTCACATGCTTTTTTTTCCAGACCGTTCCGCGTCTCATGTCCTTATGCTCTGTGTGTATCTAGCACATACAGGGCACTGCGTATAGTAGAAGTCCTGTGATCCCTGCTAAATGTTGGGGACTATCAGAATAAATGTGTGGAATTGGGATAGGGCCTCCCGGGAGAGCGCTGTTTGCAAGTTTTCAGGCCTGGGATTGATGAGCTGTGTGGCTCTGGAGAATCTTCTCAGCTTCCCTGGGTGGCATTCTGCTTACCCTGCAGTGGGCATGATGATATCTGATTCCCAGGAACTTGGAGGAAAGGTGAACGAGATAACAGACGCACTGGCCTAGAGCCTCTGCTGGGTGTGTCAGGACAATATCGTGTGCGGTTTGAGTCTTGGCACAGTGGGCAAAGTACGGGAAACCCCAAATTCCCTGATGCCCCAAATCCTTTCCTCTTTCAGAGAGCCAGACAGCAGGCAGTGTGGAAGTACTTCTGGGGCGGGGATACAGCAGCTCCTGTCCTCCCCCCTGGCTCTTCCCTCCGAGGCCTGCCCTCAGGTTCCTGACCCTGTGGCGCTGCCACAGCCTGGCTTGTGCACCGGGCAGCAGCAGGGCCTCCCAGGGGCAGCAGCTGACCACACTCGGCAGTTTTTGCAACAGTTGTAGCGCTGGTCTCGATGCGCCCCTTGGCGATACCTGCCCTGGCCTGCGGGCATCCCCCTGCAGGGGCCCGAGTCCCTGTCCATGGTCCCCGGAGCCTCCTAATTCCAACTGTCTTCATCTTCCCAGCCCTAGTGGTGGCTCTCTCTCCTGCAGTTGGTTGAACCGTGACGCCCAGGGGTTTTCTTACCCTTTCGGCTGCCTAGTTATCAACTAGATTCCCAGTGAACAATTCTTAACGTTAAGTGGTTTCCGTTCCCATAACTGGGTTGACTTCTGTCTCCTGACTGGACCCTGGCTGATAGTGGACAGAAGGAAGAATGGCAGGAAGGAAGGAAGGGAAGAGCTAGAAGGAAGGACAGAAGCCATCTGTCTTCTAACTCCACATCTTGTGCTCACCCCCGGAACCCTCAGCTGCCAGTCAAGTCCAGGGCTGGCTGGCTTGCACCCTGCCTCTGACCAGAAACCAGAACCCTCCGTGCATGGGGCTGCCCCCAAGCAGGATAACCCATTTCCAAAGATTAGCTGGTTAAGCATGATGGGTCTCTTGTTTTCTCGTGGAAATGGCTGCTCAAATGTGTTTTTCTTTAAGGTGATGGAAAGTCATCCGTGATTCATTAAAGTGTTTGGCGATGTTGATTGCTGTTATAATGATTATTACATTGTCGTATTAGGTTATAGCTATTAACATTGTCGCTTTTATGGGAAACTGCTAATGAACCAGTCACAAGAACAGAAGATACTAAGCCCATGAACTTGGTGTTTGGGGTGTGCTTGCTTCATGAGCTCAAAGGGAGACTGGGGGCTTTTCCAATATTGGGCTCAAGAGTGTGTTCTCTGAAATCAGATAGCTCGATTCCACCTCCCGTTCACTGTGGGCTCACTCAGCTTTCCTGTTCTCTGAGTTCCCAGCTCTGAACGAGGGAGAAGCATAATAATAATAACACCTCCTCAGAGATTATTGGCAGATTAGATAACAGAGCTTTCTCCAGAGCTATCTCCAATAGCCTCACTGCTTCTGTAAACAGATCCAGACCCAACAATTTTTTCAGCCCTGGGACCTCTCTTTCTGCCCCAACCCCAACTTTTAGGCTTATTTCTTCCAGCAACTACCCAGTGAAACAAGGAAGTGGATGGATGCCATCTTTGTGTGTCAGCGTGATCAACGACAGTGGCTGGCCGTTTGTTGGGCTTTGTACATGCTCACTGAACAAACGAGTCTATTGGTAGGCCCCAGGCTTTAGGTGTCATGAAGAGTAGAGACTGGACCCACAATCTAACACTCCATGGACTTGACAAGATTCTAGATAACCACAGACAATACACACTGATCTTACTAAAGTGGTTCTCCAATGAGAATCCCTGGGAAGCTCATCAAATAAGATGCAGATCCTCAACCCTGTCCCGACAGATGCTGAATCGCTAGGTCTGGGATGGGCTCTGATGGTTATATCACAACAAGCTCCTGGGGAAACTGGGGTGCCATGTGGGTGCCCTGAGGACGACACTCGAGGGATATTGCATTGTGGGGTCACTGTGAGGTCTCAGTGCAGCTGTAAATAGACTTGCACCTGGTTGGTGCACATCATCTCCCTTCGTTGATTAGGAGATCCTTGCTGGTAGGATGTCTGCTGGGTTTTAGGTCATGATGTTTGGGCTTAAACTTCAGACCCGCCAAAAACAGCTGTGAAAGTTGAGACCCATTGCTAACTTTTGGGGGTGTCATTTTTCTTCTCACCTGCCCGTACAGATTTGAAGGGAACCTTTTAAGGGTATCACGTGAGATATTATATGAGAAAAGTGCTTCGTAAACCATAAAATACCTTTCAAATGTTAATTATTTTTAAATTTATGGGTTCATTTTATTTTATGATGAGTCTCCAAATCCATATTCTTAATCCTAAATAAGAAATTATTTTTCAAAAATAAAGAATCGTTTACAAGGTGAATTGCAATTAAGTCAGCCCAGGGGACCACTTGTAATCCACAAAGGCAGTGCTGAAAGGGGACAGGGACTGACTGGCCTGATCCGTCAGGTGCAGGTTTGGAGTGGGGACAGAGCGGTGTGACCTGCCCCCATGTCCCCAGAACAGGGTAGGCCGAAGTGAGGTCCTGCTTGTGGCACTGCCCAGGCCTCCTTCTCCTGTCTCTGCTGAGGCCTCGGGTCTGGTCCCCTCCCTTGTCCCCCACATTCCACTCTCCATCTACACACCTCTCTTGTCCTCTCCTGTACTCCACAGGTGGGGTCAAGGAGCAGGCCACACCTTTCCTGTTGCCACCTGCATGTTTCTCATAATGAGGATAACCCATATTTCCACAACTCTGACCCTGGCTACTGTCTTTGACTTGCAAAGAGCTGGTGAAGGGAAAGTCAACACAGCTCTGAGCCAGACAGACTTAAGGGCACACTGTGCCCAGTAAGCTTCTGTCCTTGATGTGTCTTCGAGCCTCTGCCCCTCACTCTCATCCTTGTCTAGGAGATGGTGTTAAAGATAAGCTCCTGTCTTCATCAAAGTGATCAATAAATGAGAGTAAGGAATGAAAGGAACAGGCATTAATAAAGCACCTACTGTGTGCCTGGCCCTTCGGCCCCGTGACTCCATATGATCTTCTCCCAGGCCAGTGCTGTTGGGTTGTTACCGTCCTCGTCCCACTTGAGCCAAGTGTCAAGAATGCAAGAATGGTTGACGCTTGCATTCACTAGCACCCGGGACATGGCCAAGAGACAGCCATGCCCTCTCCATTTGCAAGGGAGTACATTCTACCAGAAATGGGAATATGTGCAATCTGCCAAAGGCCGCGTGGCCTGCACGTGGCCTGCAAGAACCGAAACCCAGCCTGCCTGGTTCAGAAGCCCAACCCTTTCATGCTCATGCAGTGGGTGAGCCAGCTCTCCTGCTGGGGACACATGGGGTGTCGCTTCCATGCCCTGGACCTACGCAGATCTGTGGGGACCTGTGTGCTCAGGGATGGCTCCCGTCTCCCTTGGCTCTTCTCTTCTCCTTCCCCGTCACTGTCTCTCAGATTTTGCAATTGCCTCATTAAAATGCAATTGTGTGATTCATCAACATTATAGGAGAAAGCAGTTAGATAAAATACAGGGAAAAAATGAGTATTTGCAGAGACAAGTAGTATCGAGCTTTCTACCTCATCAAGGGGCTAAATGCATGCATGTTAGCCCTATCACCCTGACGTCCAGAAATCCCCGGAGTGTGGAGGGGTTTTTTTCCTCTTCAGTCTCTTATATGATCCATGATCTTTACGTTTCGCCCACCCTTGTGAAAGCTAATGGCATCATTTTCATGCATGGACACGGGCCTGCCAGCTGACAGTGGTTAGCAATTCTTATTACAAATATATCTTCTAATTCCCGAGCTAGAATTGTAAAGCTTTTCTATAGTGACACTGAACCAAAATATCGAAATTGCTCGAGCCTTTAAAGAAAGCAGCAGCAAAAGGTTGCAGAATGCCTTTTAAGTAATGCTGCAGCGAGGCTCTCTGGAATACAGATAGATGCCTGCCTGGGCCTTCCTGTCACCTCAGATCACCCTGGAATTCAGACTCCAAACTTCTAGTGCCTTTGGCAGGAATTGCAGACAGGCAGAGAGAGAGAGAAAGAGAGAGAGAGAGAGAGAGAGAGAGAGAGAGAGAGAGAGAGAGGTGGGGCGGGTCTCTTTGAAAAGTAACTTCTACACAGTTTTGATCATTACCACTGTCTGAACACGGAGAAGCCTCTTTGCAGTTTGGAATGGAAATGATAAAACAGGATGTGCATGTCAGATACAACCTGTAGGCTTATCCTTTGAAGGCATTCCCCTCCCTGTTCAGGGGCCACATCCACTTTGGCTTTTTCTTCAAGATGTAATTCCCTGTCCATATTCATAATGAAGGCATCCTTCACTTCCTCCCTCCTGTCCCAGGCTCCCTCTGGGCTCACCACCCTCTTCCTTCTCCCCATCACAGCTAAGCAAGTGTGGACAAGGGAAACATTCTGGCTTTGAAGTCAGTCTCGAC